TTCACTGGTTCTCCTTTTCAGTTTATTTTGTAGATGCTCATCTTTCCTTAATCTCAACTCAGTCCTTGGACCTCTTCCCTGTTTACACACACTCCCCTGGGTTTCATTCACTCTCATAACTATTCCTAATGACTCCCAGTTTTGTGTCTCCAACCCAGAATTTACTCCTAATCTTCAGACTTATAAATCAGACTGCTGAATCAGTATTTTTTCTGGGATGGCCAAAAGATATCCCAAACTTCCTTGTCCAAAGCTAAACCCTTGACATCGCCAAATCCTGCTCCAACCACAGCCTTTCCCATCTCATGTGACAGCAACTCCACCCTTCCAGTTCCAAAGGCCAAAAATCTTGAAATCATCCTTTTTTATTTATCGCCCCATAATATCTGCCAGGAAATCCTGTTTGCTTTACCTTCTATATATATCCAGAATCTGGCTACCATTCTAGAATAAGCAACCATCATCTCTTTGATAAATTTCTGAATCAATTACTTTGATAAATTACTGTATTGGATTCCTAATAGATCTTCTTGCTTATGTCATTGACCTCTAGAGACGATTCTGATCATAGAACACAGCATTAACACCTTTAAATATAGTTAAAGGAAGAAATTACAACAATCTTACACAAATTCTTTCAGAAAATAGAAGTGAACACTTCCCAATGCATTACACAAAACCAGAATTACTGTGATAAAAACCTGACAAAGACACTATAATTAACACAATTACAGGCCAATATTCTTTATGAACATAAGCAGAAAAACCCATAACAAAATATTAACAAATTAGTTAAATCCAACTAAATGTAAAAAAGATAATGTATCATAAATAAGTAGGGTTTATTCTAGGAACATAAGGTTGTTTAAACATTTTTAAGTTAATATAATTAATATAATTCATTATATTAATAGAATAAAGGAGGAAAACAAATCATTTAATAGATAAAGAAAAATAATTTGGTAAAATCCAACACTTACTCAGGATTAAGGAAAAAACAATATTCACGAAGATATGGAGAGATGGCAACTTCCTCAATCTAACAAATGGAATCTGTGAAAAACCTACATCCAACATCATATTTAATTTTAAAACCCTGTGTGCTTTCCTCCTGAGTTAAGGAGCAAGAAAAGGATAAACTGCTTCTATCCAACAGTGTTCTGAAGCCAGTGTAATAAGGCAA